ATTTCAACCAAATTAGCTTCCAGGTTCAGGACAGTCAGGCTGATATTCGTCATTGTGTTGCTGTTTTTTATCTGCTGGATTCCATTCAACGTAGTGGTGCTGATGTATGATGAGGCCACCACCTGTGTGAAACAGCAGCAGCTGGGTTACGCCCTTCAGATCACTCGCAACATAGCTTACATTTACTTTTGCATCAGTCCCATATTCTACACATTTGTTGGAAAAAAGTTCCAGAACCACTTCAGGGAGCTGATGGTGAAGCGGTTCCCCGGTTTGAGAGATTACATATATGTCAGTCAATTCAGCAGAAGCAATATGTCCATAAAAAGTGCATCCAATGACCATTAGGGAGGAGCCCTGTGGCTTCACACCCCTGAGGGAAGGGCTCTGTAAGTTTGATCTTTTGCCTGAGCTGAAGTAAAACTAAAACTCAACTTTGACAGAAAAGACTTCTGTCAAAGTTGGGAAATATGTTTTTGCGTTATATGTATAGAAATTATTTACATATCAGTAATATATTTTGTACATTTTTCCCCTAAAAAACTATATATCTAGGATCTTGGGATGTTTATTAGACACAACTGCAAAAAATTAGGCCTTGTAAAAACAAATGAGTGTGATGTCCATCCATCCATTTGTCATACTTCCCCTTAGTTCCAGGTAGGGTCGTAGGGGTGTTGGAGCCTTTGTTAGTTGTTATTGTGTGAGTGGTGTTTTTTTTTCTTCCTCAGGCTACTGCTGCTGTTTGTTTTACTGAACACAAATCTATGTTTTGCTATCAGTCAGCTTCTTGTTTTTCAATTATTCTTGCCTTCCTAGAGAGTGTGACGGTGGAATAAATATTCTAAGGGGTACTGTGTGGTTATTGTGCGGAAATATGATAACAAACTCATTAATTTGACAAATACCAGATGACCCAGGTGGTTAAATATGGAAATACTTAAACTGTTAAGGGATAAGTTGGATCATATTTATGAAATGCAAGAGGAAAAGAAAACAAATTTTTATTGCAAGTTCTTAAAGCTGTCTCAAATATTATTATCAAACCAAACACATGGTGGCTGTGGCCCAGAACTGTCCTTCCTTCTGACTGACAGTATACACAAACACACCACCCAGCAGAAACCAGCCCCGTCCCACACTCGACCCATGGTGGGAGAGAAATTCTCTGCAGCTCCAAAAGAGACATTGCACATTAAAAAAATGCCATAAAAGATGTCATTTAAATTTATGTTAATAAAAAAAGTGTAAAAAACGTTTTAACGGTTCAGTTTGCTTTTGCGATCTCAGTACCTGTGTACTACACACTCAGGATGCAGGATGTTACGGGTCTTACAAACTCTGCTTTTCTGAGCACAGACCGCCCACCAAAGGCTTCCAGGAGGATGTTTCCTGTCCTCCACAGCAGACTTACGTTTGCCTGTGCTGAGAGTTAGCTCCACTATGCTGTCTTCCCAAACTAATGATGCTTTCCAGGCATGCATGCAAAAACAAAACAATATTTTCAGTTTTAGGTCTCTATATGAAAACACTCTTTGCATTAAACATGAACACAGATAATCAGTGCGCTCATTCCCGCTGAACCAGGATGGATGTGAGCACTACGGGTCTGTGGGATGGAATCAGAGGGTCCAGTAGCATCTGCTTTTGTTGTTGTTTTTTTTCAGTAATGTTCAGATCATATTCATCACAGCTCTGAACAAATGACTGACTTTAGTCAGATACAGTGAAGGATACCGAAGTATCAACAGAGAATGAATGAGGGTCCCCTGGCTGCTGCTTGTGCAATCGTTCCTCTAAAGAGTAAAAAGGACCTGGAAGCTGACGAAGTGATGGAGGAAACCAGTACCGAAACGTTCTAAAACTGACTTTTTGAGTCCTTTGCATTACTAGAGGAAAAACGTTTCATTATAAAAGGACTGCCAGCCACCTGAGACTTGCCTTTAAAAGTAGATGTGGTTGTATGCTGCTAAAAGCAGAATAAAGCCAGAACTTTCAGAGGCTTAAGAGCCTGGTGAGTGGGG